TTTTTTTTTTTTTTTTTTTTTTTGAGATGGAGTCTTGCTCTTGTCCCCCAGCCTGGAGTGCAGTGGCACGATCTTGACTCACTGCAACCTCTGCCTCCCAGGTTCAAGCAATTCTCCCACCTCGGCCTCCTGGGACTACAGGTATGCACCACCATGCCTGGATAATTTTTTTATTTTTAATAGAGATGGGGTTTCACTATATCAGCCAGGCTGGTCGCGAATTCCTGACCTCGTGTGATCTGCCCACCTCAGCCTTCATGACTACATCTTCCAAGCCTCAGACATAAAACAGCGGGAGCAATACCTACTCCTTAGGGTTGCTGTGAAGATTATGGACATGAACGTGCCTTACCAATAATAAAGCACTCAACAAATGTTAGAGGTTACAATGATATAATCAACTATGATACCAGGGGCTTAACTGTCATCGCTTACCCAGCATGTACCAGCATGTATGAGATAAACCTCCAGGCTTCCTCCCTCTTCTCAGGACTGTAGATAAAGGGACTCTCCAAGATGCCTGTGTCCAAGGTGATCCACTGTTTCTGAGGCTTCCACACAGCATAGTAAATAAACACTGCCAGCTGACGGAGGGAGCAGACATGAGTGTTAACCACACTGTCTCCAGAGAGGGGCCCCATTCAGGCCCATGGGCAGTAACTGTTTCAGATGATTCAGCTCTCAAGTGGGCCACACCACAGAGCCAGAAGATGACATGAAATACACTTCTTCACCATCCCCCGCTGTGATGGTTTCCACCATACCCCACTTCCTCCGATGGTTGGCAGCAGTGCTAGCTCATATTGTAAGGAAGACTTTCTGAACCCCTTTTGCCCTACTCTTGGACCTCCTGCTCTCTGGCACTACGTTCTCTACTACCCTCTCACTCTTAAATACCCAGTGCCCTCATCGTCACACCAACTGATCTTTCATTTACAACTTCCTATGAAAGTAGGTCAATGCTGGCTTCCGAATAATAGAGCAGGGAAAGGGAAAAATAATCACTTGCAAGGGGAGAGACCTGGCAAACCCTCCCTTAACCAAGGGATGGAGGTGAATGTCCCAGTGATGCCATGTGATGTCCTCAACTTTCTGAGGCTATGTGATGGGAAGAGCCCTTCACCTCCATGGTATTCTTCTCCCAAACTCATAACTCCAGTTAAATCATGAGAAAAGCATCAGTCAAACCCCAGCTGGGGGACATTCTACAGGATCCCTAGCCAGTCCCCCTCAAGACTATCAGAGTCATGAAAAACAGACTGAGAAGCTGCCATACATAGATCAGAGGAGCCTGGGAGACATGACAGCTAAATGCAGTGGGTACCAGAGGAACAGAAAGAGGCCATTAATGGAGAAACTGGTAAAAATCCAGATAAATCTGGAGTTTAGTTAGGAATATGCCAATGGCACTTTCTTAGTTTTGACAAACGTACTATGGGGCCAGGTGCAGTGGCTCATGCCTATAATCCCAGCCCTTTGGGAGGCTGAGGCAGGCGGATCATCTGAGGTCAGGAGTTCAAGACCAGCCTGGCCAACATGGCGAAACCACGTCTCTACTAAAAAGGCCGGGTGCGGTGGCTCACGCCTATAATCCTAACACTTTGTGAGGCCAAGGCGAACGAATCTCTTGAGCCCAGGAGTTCAAGACCAGC